TGATGCTGAGCATGGAAACCCTACAGGTGAAACACACCTCTGCTTTGCTTTAATCTGGATATCTTGTGTTGAGTGATTTCATTAATGAAGGAGTCTTTGCTTTCACCAGACCTGAGTGAAGTATTCCTGTTCATGTTATCAGTCTTCTCTAATGGATCTTCTGTCTGTCACTGGTGTTTTCTGTTGAGTTTATTCCCGGTCAGCTGTCATAGTAATGTCTTGATTAGCTGCTTCAGGTGTGTTGAATTAGAGTTTGCATGTAAACTGTTCTGTTCTGCTTCTGACTGACCTGTATTATGTGTGTTTCAGATGTAGAAATCCTGCTTCAGCTTGCTCTCCTCGCTTCATTTAACAGTAGTGGTGGGCAAAGTGACGCTTCATGAAACTGAAACAGTTGAAGCAAATGTGTCAAAGCTTTGAAACGTTTCGAAACTCTACAGTGACACCTAGTGGTAATTTTTTATTCATTGCTCTGGAACAGCTTCAGCAAAGAACAATTGAGCAAATTGAGGTATTAAAACCCACTTTGTAGATTTGAACCTTAAAAGTGTTATAGCAGAGCGGTCAGAGTTCCTGACTATCATGCAGGGAAACTGGATTCGAATCCAGGCAAATGCAGCTATGTTGAAATGCTCTGTTCTTGTATTGTTTTGTTTCAACATTGGTCAGACATCAGAATAAACACTATTTGTGAATAAATATGTCTTGTTTTGGTCATAAAACAGGGTTGTTGCTAGATCAGACATGGTTGTGGTCAGAAGTTGACAAGACTTATTTATACTATTAATGAAATTCCTCATTTATTGTATTTTAATACAGTCTACTCAAACGCTAAACCCAACCGTCACAGTACTGTAAAAATATGAATTATTGCTATACAGTGTTACACAAATGATGCTGTATTGATGGTGTATCCGCAGCTGTATCCTATCTAGACTACATCATAACACAGTAGCATTATTAAAATAGAGAAAATCCTGATTTTGGAGCATTTGTACAAAGCAGGATTCAAACCCAAAAGCCATTTGAAGCACAGTAACAGCATGCACATGCACGGTCCACTAGGCTATATAGGACAGAAGTTTTTTAGACCCAGTCAGTCAAATGCAGATTCGCCAGGTCTCGGAACGGTTCTGAAATTATGATGTTAAAGAGCACAATCACAGAAGGAGAGAATGAGAAATAAACACATACAGCAACAGCCTCACACCAAAGCAACTGATTTAAACACCTCCACAAACAGCATCAGCAGCTCCACTGAAAAACATTTGATAATAAACAGCGCTTTTATTTCTATATTGATTTCCAGTTTGACCTCACCATCATGGAGATCAGAGGCTGCTTTAGTTGGGCTCTTGATCCTTTACTCTTCTATCTTATTGTTCCTGAAACTCATCAGCTATGGCAACAAAGGCAATGAGAAGCTTTATGTAAATAATTGTTACAGATATAATTGCTAGTAATCTATAACTTAAATAAAACAATTGCAGGTTTATGTGACGTGGTTTGGGGCATTAAGAAAGTTTCCCATGGAGAGTCAACAAACAAGAATTAATTCAAATTAATTAATATAGTTTCATACGCAAAACCTTGAGAGCTCAAGAAGCACATTTAAAGGTTCAGGACACCCTGGAGAACTTTTTTAAAAATATTAATAGATGTGTGTGTGTTGAGCATCAGTTAAGACGATGTGATGTTAGCACCTGTCAGCTTTAATTGTGGGGAAAACTGGATAATTTTGAGCTTTTGTCATCTATTTTCAGCTTCCGGGTTTAAAATGATTTTTGGGGTGGATCGAAATTGGCGACGTAGCACAGTACTGCAAGTGCAATGATGACGCGTCGGTTTCTCATTATTATTCATAGCGGAGTTTTCTTATCCTATGAGAAGAGCCGGCTGCTTAATTATTCATGAGAGCACGTGCTTTCAGAAGGCAGACCTGCCAGTTTCAAGCAAGCTGTGAAACACAGACCAACGGCACGCAGTAGCCGTTCATGAAGGCTCGTATGTGTTTGTTTCCATGATCCACGGGGTTTGTTGCATGTTTTTTTCCCCGCGATCTTGTCAGGGCTGATACAGAAAAGCTGTGTGTGTGCTGCCAGCATTTTTGTCGGGAGAGCAGTACGAGAATTGAAGAATGGCGGACGTTGACTTTTATCAGGAGTTCGTTCACATTCAGACACATCACTGTGCTGCTGTGTTTGCCTAAATCCCCTATATTACCAGCAGGACTAATGGTTAAAATAGACAGGTCAGGAGACCTGCTGCACTGAGTCTGCATTCAGATCTATAAATTAGACCCGGGGATCGAGGGAGAATCCTCATTTATAGGGTTTACATGAACACACTTATCTTTATAATGATATTAATTGTGGTTATGTGTATATAAAATTATGAATAACAAATGTAGCAGGGCATTAAATTACTGTTTATTCCTTTGCATTTTAACTTTGTGAACTATAAACTCATGCGTCTCCTCGCGGTTTGTGTCTCATTTTCTGAGCCGACTGTCAACAACAGTTGTTTGCTCCCATCTCCCCTGCTGGCCACGCCCACTCCTGCCCTGTGCTCGCGGAGCTCCGCCCATTAATCATGCATCTTTTGAAAAAAATCTGAAGTAGACTTTAACCAAAAGTGAGGGGAGTCATGACCCTTTAAGACACAAAGACATCAAGAATCAAGATATGAACCTCAACCACGGTTACTAAAATTAAAAAGCTGCATGATTCATCCATGCCACAATGCATGCTGGGTACATAGTACAAAACTCCCAGCATGCATTGCAGCATAAATAAAATAAGCCGCTTAAAGTTCTCGAAATGTCTTTCTGTGCCTTTATTGTGTGCTGTTCTTGGCGGTCATATTTCAGTAGAGTGTTTTGTGTTGTTCTGGGTTGATTTTCTTTTGTTTTCGTTTGTCACCATTGTTGTAATTGAAAGGCTGATTCTTGATAAGATGATCTTTTATGTGAAGCTTTGACCCAATCTACATTGTAAAAGCACTATATAAATAAAGGGGAATTGAATAACCTCATTACATTTATTCTTAAATTTCCTTTAGGCTTCTCATGCCATACAAATTGTGTGATCAACACAACGATTTATGGCTACCTAAATAAATCTAGTGTTAAAATAAGCAGCTGAAGAAGCCAACTAAAGCAGACGCTGACCTCCATCATGGTGACCAACTGAACAACAGCAACTCCATGAAGAGTTTTGTCCACAAGACAGAAAAGTCCGAGCTCAGTAATGAGTGAAACTCCACTCATTTAAGTTGTTTAATGATCTCTGCTGAGATCTTCAGAAAGAACATTTATATTGTCTAATTATTTAGTACTATTATTTTTATCTAGTTTTATTTTCAGTTGATGTCATCTTTGGTTTTGGCTGTAACTTGAGTTTTTCTTTCCTTTAGTGAATCTGCTTACTCCACAGCTGCCGGTCTTGTCCTGCAAAATCAAGAAGAAAAAAAAAACTAAACAAACAAACAAACAAACACCATTGTGGAGGATAAGTGTCTGTGTTCAAGTCCACGATGAACTGAGAGTATTTGCAACATATAAGAGATTGAAAAAATGCAATGAAATATTTCAGAAAGTTGTTCAGCACATGTATGCAGCACCCTACCACCAATATTATCTGGGCCCGGGGTTTTTTTTTTTAGTATTAGTTCTCTGAAAGAGGTCTTTGACCTGAGTCCTACTAATGTTTACGGATTTACTACATGACAGGTGTTGTTTTAAAATGTCATTTTCTGACTTAAAATCGACCTTAAGCAAAACGTATTTAATTCCTCAGCAAACTCTCTCACAGAACTAAAACCCTTTAAATTGTATTCAATGCCTGCTCTATCTTCTTTACTCCCAGCTATTGTGTTCTAACCTTGCCAGGCTGATCTTAAATTTTTGCTGCTGGTCTGTTTCTGTATTTTCTATTTCTCTATTTTATTATGTACATTGTTTGTACACTGTTAAATCATGCTAATCAAAACACACAACTGAGATGTGTATGTGTTATCATATCATTGACATGACCACTTCAGCACTATCAGCTCCAATAAACTGCATGAATCAGTTTGTCTTAAATAAACATTAATCTGTATAAACTGAATTACCACACTAAATCAGCTGTACTCCTCATAAACGGTAACCTCACAGAAATATTTTTGATCAGTAATGACAGTTTATTTGCTCAACACTTATTCTACACAATATACCGATTAAAATGCAGAAAAAATTAAACCAAAACATGAAAAAACGGCCGAGATATAAAGGATTAAACCTGACCGAAAGCACACTCAGCTGAGGACACACAGGATTGGTCGAAAAACACGAATACTAATGAGTCATTTGCATATGGTCTATTCTCTAATAAAACACGATTTTAAAGGGCTTCATAAGCTTAAATATGATAATCAAAGTATGGGAAAACAACCTAGACATCAGATAATCAAATTCTGAATAAAAATATACAAACAAAAACAAAGAAAAACACAAACAAACAAATGGTCATCACCATTGCCGAAATGCTGTGACTCAAAACCTTGACAATAGGCCAGGGTCTCCTGTTCTTCAGGGTAATGCTCCCAACGGTTATCCCTGATAAGGATAATGTCTGCTTGGTTCTTGCATTGCCTTAGGGGAGACATCTGGTAGAAGAATGATATATCTACAGAGATATATCCGCCAGACTGAACCTCGACCTGCCCTCTTCAATTTTTTTCATTTCTAGGAATTAGTGGGAGGTCAGGAATATCTCTTTGAATGCTTCAAGTCACATTTGGGCGAGTTCTTTGATCATCTTGAATTCATGGTACTCCTTGGATGTTGACTGGAAGTATTCTGGAGCAAATCAGCAGGGAGTGAGGAGAAGGCAATGACCAGTTCATGGCCAACTTTATC